CAATAATATATTTTAATGGTTTTATTACCTTTCTATTTTACATATTGTTTTTATTGTTTAAAACATAATTTTCTTATATTTTGTACGATTGTCTTTTGTTTCATTCTTCTGTTGTATTAGCTTGACTATATTATAATTGAGGGTGATACTTCAACATACTTTAAAGTTTAAAATTAATTAAATTCTTCAGATGTTTTGTAATCTTTATGAAGTGGTGATTTGAAATACACTATTTTTTATTTAAAAGACACATTGGATGTATTTACACAAAGTATCAGATCAGTGTGGCCAGTACCAACCTGAGTTGTACTTGATATCAGAATCGGAGAGAAAATCACTTGTATTCAGCATTTTGTCGTCTTGTTATTGTGTGCCACACACTTACATGCTCCTCACCTTGTTTCCTGTTTCTGGTTTAAATTTGTTGTAGCGTTACAGCACCACCTGCAGGCCTGGCATAGGTACTACACTGTTTTGCTAGGTTTTTCACGTTTTAAACATTTCAACAAACGGTGTCGTCTTTAAAAGGAGGGTTTTTTTAATATTAGAAAAATATATTGTTTTGAGGAAAAAGCATTTCCATGTATAGATGTTACCTTTCCTTTAAAGTTGAACTGGACTAAATTTCTTCTTTTATTCACAGTGTCTCATCTGTCTGCTTAACGCTGAGCTGTACATTGGACTGCTGGCTCCCCTCACCTGCTTTCCTTCCTCTAAGGACATTTTTACCCTGATCTGCTCTGTGGATAATATCAGTCTCCATGAATCTGAACCTGTTGCAGTGGATGGCAACAGCTTTTTTTTTCTTTTTTTGCAAAATGTTTATGTCAAGCTCAAATGTAAAATCATACAAAAGTGCTTATGGTCATAAATGTGCACACCTATAGTTTTTATGCACACACGTCCTAGAGCCTGAAAAAAATGGGATGATGGGGGTTACTTTGCTCCAGACTGAACACAAATTACCAGATGCTTCACAACACTTTGGTCTCATTCAGACAAATGTGCTGAAAGGTTTTCATGCTGCCTGACTCCCACATGAGTTCTCCGTGATGTAAACACACATCGCCCCTGCATGGGCCTCTGGACCCAGAAGCATTGTGACATTCTGGGTTAATCTCATCGTGAGTCCTGGACCTCGCAGCGCCTGAGGACCCGATCTCTGCCTCTCTTTTACTCCCACCATTTGATGTTTCCTCTGAGTTGTGGTTGGCACACTACTCCCCCTTCACCTCCTGCCTCTCCCCCCTTCAACCAGTCAGGCAGAACAGGCCTTTCCACAGCCACTTCAATCGGGCTACAGTCGTCAGAGGGACTTGACATGCGTGGTACAGCTCCTGAGTTCGCATTTGCACTAAACAGCCGTATTGTGCACAGTCACTGCTTGTTGGTTCTTGTAGTGAACTGAAAAAAAGAAAAAGAAATGGTATTAGTGCAAAGAAAAATATGTATTTGACCAAAAAGTGTTTACAGAATTGTGAGATGGTTGTAAAAATTGATGTGTTTAATCCACATAAATACTACAATGTAATTATCTTTATTAGAAACAGTTTAGTTGCAGTATAGCTTGTAAGATATTCTACAATAAACACAAAGATGCTGTTGCATCATTTATCCCAGCTGCACTGAAAATCAACATATTTATGCTGAAATCTAACAGTCTTGTGCACTTGAACAAGTTTTATGTTGTCATGTTGGAAAATCTGTGCAAGTTGAGCATATTTTTCTATGAAGAAATATTGTAAATAGAAATATTTTCAACGTCTGAGTTGTTGATTTTAAGCCTTAAACTGTATTTGATGTTGTGTGGAGAATCAGAATCACTTTGTTTAGCCAAAGTGTGGATTTTTACCATGTGTTACGACAGAGTTCGTTTATCGTGACAGGTTTTAGATACTCTAAAATGACTGCGTGGGTGTGTATGTGTGTGTTAAATATGCAGAGGACAGCGATGATGAGTAAATGTGTTTGCGTGGAAAATCAGAAGATGCGTTGAGGACGATTTGTGCGCCTTCTCCCTGCAGCTCACTACTGCCGGTTTTTCAGAACAGACTGTGGATTTTTTTTTGTTTTAGCACCAGAATGAAGCAGCGTGTCGGTGGATTATGTGGTTGAGGTTTTTATACCTGCTATGAAAGTAAAAGGGATTGTGGGCTCTTAGGGTGTCTTGTTTTAAATGAAAATCTGTACAGTTGAATGAAACTTGCAATCCAGGAGGGAGCTTTATCTTTAAACCATTTTTCTCCACTTTACTGCACCGTGTCCACATATTTAATATTTGCCTCTGAATCTACAGCACACTAGTTTTTCCTTGAGAAACCTTGTAATTCCGTATTAATTATTACTGAAACATTGTTAAACTAAAGAACATTCCAGCCAGTGTCCACACGCTGATTAAGAAGACCCTGTTTTCATATAAAATGTGATTTTAAAAAACAGCTTTAATAGAGGAGCATTCAAACACAGCAGAGTGAACTGCAAATAAGACTAATCAGTAATTGTTGTGTGCATGTGAAATTACTCAGTATCGTCCAGTGAAAGCTATTGACTGTCATGTTTGTGAAACTCATGACGAGTATTCCATTTATATACACAAGTGGTGAGTAATAATTCATGGAGAACCCCACTATGCCAAGAGAAAAATTCTGATCCGTACTTGAATTTATTGTTAGTAAAGAAGTGGTCAGTTGTATAAGAAATGCTGTAACTGTAATTAAATGGGGCATTAATGTGATGTTACCTCTTGGTTTTATCTGAAACTTTTTCTGCTTTAGTGGGAAATTATGTGAGAGGACATGACTAGAAATGCATTTCCATCACATTGCTTTAAGATAACAAATAATTTCTCTTCTTTATCTTACAATTCAAAGTATTGTTTTGTTATGATAATTTAAATGTCTTTCCAGTAAAAATAGATTAAGTTGAGATTATTGGTGGAAATACTGTTTTTATTATTTTATTTTTAATTGTAGAGTAAAATGAACAGCTGAGAAAAACACAAATGGTTTAATATCCACTGTTATTATACTAATAGTAATGTCCTGATGCATCTCAGTAATCCAGGTAAAAAATCAAAAAGAAAAAAATTGTATAGGTCTTCTGGACGGGTTCTTCTCTAATGAAACGTTTTGTCTCTCCTCCAAGAGACTTCTTCAGTCTGAGAGTTTCAGGCAAAATTCAGGCTTTTAAGCCCTGCCTCCATGTGACTGATACTCACATCACATGGCTATCATTGACACCTAATTAACACCTATTGTTAACAGGGGGTGGAGTGATACTGGCAATAGCAGCGCTGTAGGAGGGGGACAACTGAAAACGGAGGCCTCCACCTCTGTTTAATGATGGACGGTCTTTCTTCACAAAAATGGCTTCTTTTACTCCTCTCTCAAACCAACGTTCCTCTCTATCAAGAATGAGAACATCCTCATCTCTGAAAGAGTGACCGCTGGCCTGTAAATGAGTGAAAACTGCAGAGTTCTGGCCATTAGACGTAGCTCGTCTGTGTTGGGACATTCTTTTGAACAGTGGCTGCTTTGTTTCCCCGATGTATAACTGGTCGCAGTCCTCCTGGCACTTAACAGCATATACAACATTGCTCTGTTTGTGCCGGGGCACCGGAGGCCTCCGTTTTCAGTTGTCCCCCTCCTACAGTGCTGCTATTGCCAGTATCACTCCACCCCCTGTTAACAATAGGTGTTAATTAGGTGTCAACGATAGCCATGTGATGTGAGTATCAGTCACATGGAGGCAGGGCTTAAAAGCCTGAATTTTGCCTGAAACTCTCAGACTGAAGAAGTCTCTTGGAGGAGAGACGAAACGTTTCATTAGAGAAGAACCCGTCCAGAAGACCTGTACAATTTTTTCTTATTTTTTTTTACTAATAGTAATATTGTTGAATTGTTAGTATTCACATGAACTGAGTTAATTTGCCATTTATTAACAATTATGTGATTCTTTTGTTTACATAAATATGCCCTCACTATTGTAAATTAATACATTTTGTACAGATCTCCTGTTTTATTGGATATAATTTTTGTGTTCACTGAACTGAGTCTTTCAAATCACATGAATAAAAAATATTGTTCAAGAATCTTCCTAAGGAAGTGTTTACCCGATGGATCATTTGTACGACTCCTGTCAGAATGTTGAAGCAGTTTGTCTTTTTTGAACTATTCACAGACAAAGATTTAGTTGCTTGTTAATAAAGCTTAAAAGTATATCCAACGTTCCATTTTCTACACCGACTTTCCAATCTGTGGTTCCTAAACCACAAATCAACTCATTTTTTTCAACCTGTGTGCGTCTTTTCTTAATCAATAAATGCTGAAAACCAGCACTTCCTGCTGGATGTGGTGCCACTCTGACTGTTAAAGGAGACACATCATGCTTTTAAAGGTTTTCTTTTCACACTTAAATATTCAATTGGGGTCTATATAAAGTAGAACTGCAATGCTTTGTTGGGAATTCCTCCTTACTGTAACTCCACAAGTCCCTCTTTCACCTCTGTTCTGAGGTGTGTCTGAGAGCAACTCGTTTTAATGCTGTCTCATTAAACGCAAATGAAGCACTTAAGGTCCCCCCCCCCACTCTGTTTAGCAAATTTTGTAATTTGATAGTAGATTGTATAGCAGCACAGAAACTTGTATTTATCTATTTATTTGTTTGTTTATTTATTTATTTATAATTTAATAAAAGTTGTCAATAGGAGAAGACCTGTCCGTCCAGCCTCACGTTAGAGCCAGAATCCGATCCAAAGCCAGAGGAGAATGAAGACGATAAACCTGCAGAACCACGTGGTTAGCTGGAGGTCCATGACCTTGTTTAGCAGTTCTGCAGCAAATGTGACTTTATTGTTCAAAAAACATTATAGGGAATAAAGAAAACTGAGCAGACTGGAAAATAAGATCCAAACGGTATATAAAGATGCAGTATATGCAGCACTGGGAGATTAAATTAAACTTTTCTACATACCTATAGACTTCAAATACAGTGCACCCCATTTTGCTAAAATGAAGTTGTTCAAAAAAAATAAAATAAAATAAAATGAAGTTGTTCGGAGCTCTATCTAAAACAGGTAAGACAATGATTGTTTATACCTTTTTCAGTTTCTTTAGAGACTTGTTTTTGTAATTTATTGTTTTGTATTTGCTAACTTTAAAACTAAAGAGAAATGCTTTATGTGATAGCAAAATTTATAAAAGATAACCCAAAGGGTGAAGTACAGCAGTGTTAGACACACAAGAAACAAAATCCCTTGATATAAATCTGCTGTACAGCATCTAAATTTAGGTTTGGGGTTGTCACAAACACCCTGGAAACCTTCTGCACCCACAGTTTGCTTTAAAGAAAATCTGCAAATTCAATTTGAGAATGCAATTATCTAAAATGCCCCCAGGATGTAGAGGTCAGGTTTAAAAGTCGCATATCACAGCTCACATCCACATCAGATGTGACAGGCTGTGTCTCCATACAGCACAGCCCCTATCTTTCATCTGCCACCTCTAACCAAAGTCCAAAAGTCATCTAACTTAATGGTCAAACTGTGCATGAGGCTGTTAGGTTTGCAGCCATTTGTCCCGATTTAGTTTAGAATTTTCAGCTTGTTGCAAAGCAGCGTATTCTGCACTCAAGTCTGCAAAACATTCAGCTTGATTTTCACAAATATCTCAAATCATGCAGTGCTCATTTTAATTAAAAATGGTAAACACGAGCATATTTTATTTAAGGTGTTTGACGTAGAGTTGTCAGCCAACTCAGTAGCTCATTAACACCGCTTGGGTTTTACTTACAGCTCTGGGAAAAAAAACAAATTGAAAGTGAACATTTAACAGAGTCGCAGCCTTCTTAGCAGTGTTCAGATCCAAAACTTTCACTATACTGTAATTTCCTGCATCTGATTCTGAAACACGGTAACATCTGATTTTTTACATTGTAATTTCAGTTAAACAGGGATTAGGCAAATGAGAGAAAACATTTGGCTCAATCGTGTGTTGATTTGGGAAACAAAACCAACACGGAACATTTCTTTTCTGTTCTGGCTCCTCTGTGCAGAAACAACATCATCTGCAGAGAGTTTTTACTTATTACTTTGCACAAAATCAAACAGCAACAATCTTTTTAATCCTAAAATATACTCCATTTTAAGTGCAACTATCTTTTTTCACAAACATGCTGTGTATAATTAAACTTTGATAGATCCATGTTTAACAAAACAGGCTTGTAGCTAACTGATAATTAAAGAGTTTAACTCAAAAATAACAGACATAATGATTCTGACCAGGATTTTTTGTTCCATTAGTTTAATCAAGTTGTCTCTATAAACTTTTTTAATCTGGATGGTGGTTTATATCATATACTGTATATCCAGTAGACTCGACACACACAGAGGCCAAAGCAGTGTTAGGGAAAATAATAAGTGACAGATACAAATCACTGGCACGCCATCTTATTCTAGCAGCTGGATTGATTTAGCCAGCATAAAACCCAGAGGGCTTTGTGTTGTCACACTGAAGGGGAGCTCAGCGCCTCTCAAACTGAGACTGAAAGCCTTAATTTGAACATGCAGAATGAACAGAAATGGCATGTTTCGCTCATGCTCGTTACTGAAGACACATTTTCTGGAAGAATTCACGGAAATTTTCTGCTATGGAGAGATAAACAAAACAAGATCAAACATTTTCATACATATTTTTTAGTTATAGTGAATATAATTTAGCCCCAGTGATTTTTATGCATTTAAAATCTATACAGAATGTTGTTCTGTCTCCACCAAACACCAAAGCACACGCTCATCTGTAAACCCTTAGATGGAGAAGTAAAAGGGAAATACTTTTAAAGTACTTTGAATCCAGATCATTTTACTGCTATTCAGTAAATGGTTGATAATTGCACGGTCTAGAGTGAGACAGCCCTCTTCTGCAAAACTTTGCAGAAAATCTTCCATTAGGTTATAATTGGAGCGAATGCACAGATTTATGGTCCATATTTTAAGGGGGTTCAACTCTTGTGTGAAAATATGTTTTCCATCAGTGCAGCAGGAGGCATACACACAGTGATGTATGCTATCAATCACTAACAGATGGCAGGTGGAATATTTCCCCACTTTTCCTGATAACAGCGCAGGACTGCATCTCATTTTGGATGTTGAACTGACTGGTTAACTTCAGTCGTCTCTCGAGGGAGTCTGAACCATCTGACATGTTAATGTTTCATAGTCCCAAACATTATAATGAACACATCTGCCTAAAGTGATGGAGATTCATTGGAATGATTCACCTCCTTCAAGGGAAACTGCTGTCTCCATTAAAATGCATAAGGTTGGCATGAATATTCATGACTTTACATCTCCTTTCAGTTTACACATTATCTGTGACAACAGAGGTAAATCGAGGACAAGTTATATCTGCTTAGTATGCTTTTAACAGTAGCAACTGTGTTTGCCATTTAATCACTCTCGTGGCAATGCAATGTAAAATTCATTTAGTCAAATTCTAAATATCATTTCTGGTATTTCAAAGAGGACCATGCTTAGATTAGACAAAAACAATTTGGTTTTAGTTTGGCTTACATTAAACCTGAAATACAAAGTGTTAAACTGACTTTTCAGTTAATTAATTAGTAACTTTTTTCCAAGAAATGTGTGTCATACACAACGCTGGTGGCATTCTGTCCTCAGAAGATGACAGACAGGATGGACACTTCACTGGAAAAGCCTGCATTAACACCGGCTGCTGCAGACATGAACGGCACCAGCGACAAGCTTTTCTGCTGCAAATGGATACGAAACAGAATCCCCATCACCCACAGAGAGGAACTTTATCACATCCTGAGGATGACAGGACCGCTGGTAAAGTCTGCCAACATGAAACGACGGGGTTGTAGCTCGTGTAAAATGACAGCCATTCAAATGAATTGCAAATGTAAAAACTGTAACATGTCACGCTTGTATCACCTGCCTGTTTGTCACTCAGCTGTTCTCCCGAATTCTTCATTTCTTGCTCCCATTCGTCGTTACAATGTTCTGTGGGCGCCTGGGAAATGATGTGATGGCCGGCTACGGGTTAGCTTCAGCTGTAAGTGCCTCCCAAGCTTTCATTTATTTCATTTTCTGTCATTTATTTATTTGAAAGGAGAGTGTATGATAATTAATACTCCATTTGAGATATTCGGAATCAGCACAATGGCTAAATTTCATCTGTTGTCCAAATAAAAACAGTTTATAAAAAGTCAGAAAACAACAGAAATGTGATTTTATAATAGCAAGCATAAGACAATTCATTATACTAACGATTAATAAAAACACACCAATATAGTGCTTTTTTACAGAAATAAAATGTGTAAAATAATATACTGTATTTTGCCATGAATTGTGAAAATATTGATTACATCTTGACATTAATAAAAACATGTTTTTAATTCATTTTAGACCATTAATGTTACCACAGCAGCAACAGGATGTGGTCTGAGCCTGGCTTGTGACACTTTGGTGTCTCAGGTTTGGAAAACTCGCAACTTTCTGTGTTAATATTTCCTGAGACTCTCCTTAATCCACTTCATATCCTTACTATTCATTACTGCTCTCTGCTGAATGATTAACATCGTCTGTGTGGTGCTGGGCAGACATTTGGGGGGAAGAATATGTTACAGGTGGGAGTGATCCTGCAGAAGGGCATTATCATCCTCATGCTGTTCTGTCTGCCCTGCTGGGGGCTCCTCCTCAATGCCGAGGCCGTCCTGTTGTGTCTGAGCCAAGACCCCGAGGTTGCCAGGTACCAAAACGCAGCAAAACTTGTATGTAAAATTCAGCATCTCTGTTATTCTCTCAGCTGCAGCACAATTCTCTACATGGTTTTTCCTGCACAGAAACAGTGTGTTAACGCATCCTCTTATAAACAGTGAAAAAGTACTCTGTGTACACCTGATTCAATGTGAAACAAATAATACGGAAATACTATTAAAAGTAAAAATAAGAGCGTTTTACTCACTGTTTAGTTGCGATGGGTTGCTGCCATCTTGAATTCTGAGCTCCCACTTTCCAACAGGGAATTCCCATGTATAATCAACATTATGGGAGATGCAGTTTATGCTCAGTGCTGGCTTTAAAACTGATTATTTTGAGACATAAATACAGAACTATCCAACTAAAATGCTCAGAGGGCCACAATTACTGAACGACATCGTCTCAGGAGCAGGACAAGTACTTTGTTTCACCTTCTAAATTGATTTATTTTGTTTCATAGAATCATAAATGTAAAGTTTACCATTGATATGAAAACTATTTTTATATTGAGTTAAGTAGAAAAGGGTGGTGGTTTTTGTTTTAAGTTTAAAATCCTGGAACTAACATTTAAAGTTCTCCATGGTCAGGCTCCCTTAAAGCCTTGTTGTGTCTGTATTTACCCTCTCGAGGGCTGAGGTCATCAGATCAGAATCTTTTAACAGTCCCCTTCACTCACTTTAAGTCTAGAGCTGATCGCTCCTTCCAGCTCAAAGGCTCTGGAATGATCTTCTGCTCTCAATGCGTGCACTTGATTCTGTGCTTGCCTTTAAGAGAAAACTTAAAAATTTCCTTTTTTATAAAGCTTTTCAACAATTCCAGAGCGTTGTCTGTTTCTTAGCTATTGTTTTATGATGTTGTTAATGTTTTTATTGTTTTATTTTTCTGTGTAATTTATGTACTGCATATATACTGCATATTCCATTAGAGTACATGTGGTGTGACACATGTACTCTAATGGAATGCAGGTTTTCTGGCGGCTTTTTGCCAAATTTTAAACTAAGACCATTTTACATAAACAGATACAGAGTTATAATTGTTTTAGTCTAACTTTGAAAAGAGACATTAAAGCAGTTTGATCCTTGCAGTTCTTTTATCAGCACAATACGCTTGCCACTTTCTTGCATAACAAATACATGTAAATCAGCCCAACATGCTTCTGAGCAGTGAAACGTAAACACTGAATATTTTTAAAACAATGTTAGTATAAACCTTTAAACTATTGTTTAACTATGGTTAAACAATGGTAAAATTAAATAAGAAAAATAAAGCTTAACATCAGTATGTTTTTTTCTGTTTAGAATAGCCCAGCTGTATATTACAGCCTTCCTTCCTGCAGTACCAGTGAGTTGCATCTTCTTCTTTCTCCTTTTTTGTTTGAATTTGTTGGATTTTGGAGTGTATTACGTTCACTTTTACTGCATTTTTAACTCCAGTAATTTTGTATTTAATCTTATCATGTAGGCCATGTTTCTTCACAATCTCCAGGTCTCCTATCTGCAGAACCAGGTGATCTAACATCCTGTTCTCTCCTAACATTAGTTGCTGCTTTAATTGAGTTGTTTGCACTTCGAAACAAGAACACTGTCTTTCTGTTCTCAGGGAATAATCCTCCCACAGATGTACGCCGCTGCTTTGGCAAACCTAGCAAACGTTGCTACAAATTACATCTTGCTTTACTGGTTGGATCTGGGTGTCAGGTAGGTGTAGATTTCAAATTTGGATAAAATATTTGTACATAGTGATGTCATCCTGACTTGTATCGGCATGTTTTGCAGTGGTTCTGCAGCAGCAAACACTCTGTCTCAGATTTACATCAGCGCCTTTATGTTTGCTTACATTTGGTGGAAGAAGCTCCATGTTACAACATGGGCAGGTGAGGGTGTTGATGTTCTTTGTCTCAATCTGTTTCTCCTTTACAAAAATTCACTCTGCACACGTGAGTGTCTTCCTCCCCCTGCAGGCTGGTCTGTGGAATCACTGCAGGACTGGGGCTCCTACATGAAGCTGGCCATCCCCAGCACGTTAATGACTTGTTTTGAGTGGTGGATTTATGAGTTTGGGGGATTCTTTGCAGGTAATCAGCAGATTAGATTTAATTAACATAACACATTGTACAATGCCATGCCACTATTAAAACAATGACGAATGCTGCCTGTCTCTAATTTCTTCTTTGTAACAATCAGGAATGATGAGTGAGGATGAGCTTGCAGCCCAGCATGCTGTAATAATGGTGGCTTTCATCACCTACATGGTATTTTGTACTGAGCACTTGTCAAAGCTTTGCATCGATATCCCTTAGACAAAATCTTAGATTTAGAATAAAAAGTAATTTAGTTAAGGTGCAGAATATTTGTTTGATTCTTCTATCATTTGGATAGTTTCCTCTTGGGATTCAAGCTGCAGCATGCGCTCGGGTGGGGAACGCTCTTGGTGCAGGAGACACTGCCAGGGCACTTCTCACCAGCAAGATGTCACTAACCCTTGCAGGTCAGTGATGAACACATGTGAATGTTCTGTCAAAAAATAATCGAGTTCCACCAGGCGTGATCAGTCTTACTGTAGAGCTTGAAGTATGGGAAAAAGGACTCTTACAAATTAGATCAGTTTTTAGACTTTTAAAGGGGCTGTTGTGGAAATATTTATTAAAAGGCAGAAAAACGTGAATAAAAAGAAGATGCGCTGTGTGAATGGTCGTTGAATGATTTAATAAAGGTTTTGCAATTGCAAGACGAGCCGCAGCATGACCAGAAAAAAATCAGAGCTCTGGGCACACTGCAAACTGACTAGCATAGCCACAGGAAATGTTTATTTCATCTGGGCGGAGCATTGAACAACCAATGACAGAATGACAGGTTTTACAGCAGCTTAACTGAGAAACAAGGACATGAGACACCGGAGACGCCTTTCAGTTGTAAGACCAGATCATCACAAATCGTAGCAGTTATCAAAAGATACAAAGTGAAATGTCAACGCAGTATGAACTTAAATAATCAGGTATCAAGAGAGGTATAACTATTTTCTAGCACGGGGCATTATGCAAAATGTACTTTTTTAAGCTTTATATCATGTTATCATGTTATACTGTCATTCCCTTATCAAAAACATACCCTTAGTGTTGCTTTGACTCATTCGTTTAAAGGGGCAATATCATGTAAAATAATTTTTTTGAGTTTTATATCATGTTATAATATTATACTCTCATAATAAAAAAAACATGCCCAAAGCCTTGCTTTGACTCATTCATGCATGTTTGAGAAATCCTGCAGCGTTTTCAGGCAGCCATGCCGAGGAGCAAAACAACAGTTGGGGACCAGAAACGCCTTTTGGTACCAGAAACGCCCCCTGGGACGTGTCTTTAAGCTGAGCTTCCTCATCACGAGCACACCTCCCCACCCCCACCTGCAGTAACAGAGCAAAGTGAAAGTGAAACTTAACTGTCTGCTGCTCTCAACACTACTTCTCACTCAGTGAAGCTCTTTTCAGATTTAAAATACCTTTGAGGAAATGTATTTTCAGATGCCAAATAAACTGCATCATAGCCCGCGCACTGAAATGGGCGGGACAGAAGCAGAAGGTGGTTCTTAAAGNGAGGTAAGACAAGGCTGTGTGTTTGAACCATCGCCAAGTACCCCAGAGGTCTGAAGTCTGCTTCGGTGAGCCACGCATTAGCCTCCCTTTAATCTGCGAGTGTGCTCTCTTTGTGGATGTAAAAAGTTGGAATTAGCGTAAGTTGTTTATGCCATATAACTTGGTCACCTTCTTTAATTTACGCCCTCTTACGTAGATTAATTCTTCCTTTTATTAACCTTCAAGTTTCTTATAATCTTTGTGAGCGTAGAGTAGAAAGTGACTCAGGGAAAAGATACTATCTTATTATTGTGACTGACTTTAACGTTTATTATTGAACTTAAGGTTTGATGATAATTGTCTCTGTCTGCCCAAATAATCTGTTGTATTGTCATCTCTGAATTATTTTAATATAGGGTATATTATGAAATTCCGTTTGTCTGTGCGTCATTTCTTGGGTTTCGTTCTTGAAAATGATAGAATTCACTACTCAGTAATGAAGACTGATTTAAAATCAATGAATTATTTCCTGTAATAAACAGGTGGTGCCCCTTTTGTTATGCTAATAATTACGAGGTATTTATGATAATATTGTCCATAACATCGACAACAGCATATCACTACAAATATCCCTACAGGAAGCTTCCTGTGATCCTGAGGGGAGAAATGGATAAAGACGATGGATGGATGGACTGATCATTTATGACTGTTGTTTATCTACATAATGGTCATCTATTTGAGGACAAGACAGCTCATATCATTTATCACAACCACAAACTTGTTAATTTTCAAAATCTTTTAAGCAAGTTGACATTTCTGCCAGCAAAAAGCTTCGCCAGGCTGCTTTTGTTCTGTTTACAGACGGGATTTATGCCGTTTGTGGACTTCCTACAATACGTAATCAAAACAGTGGTGCATTTTGCTTTGCCTGTTTGCTCTGTCCACAAACTGTAGACAGTAACAACACTTGGAGTTTCAGTCATGTAGTGTTTCTGGGAAAGCTGCAGCAAACAGAAAACAGACTCACGCTGATATAAGTCATATGAAACATGGCTTTTGTAAAAATCAACAGTAAAACTCTTTAAATAAAAAGGAAAATTGCTTTTTATGGATTTTTTTGTAAACATCACTCAAATAGTACAATAGTTACCTTATTTGTAACTGTTAGTACAAAGCAGAGGTGTTTTTTAATGTAAACTGGTGTTTGGAGAACAACTCGTCCCTGAACGCTGTGAAGAGCAGCTGGTTAAATGTCTGATGATGCAAGGCAGAGGACTACACACTCCAGTTTTCACCAGTAAGAATCTAGAGAGAATGTGCAAGATCAGATTCCTGGGAGAGTTCACGTCTCAGAGAACTTTACATACAAACACTGTCTGCAGCACAAAGTAAAGAAGAGAAAAAGTCAAACTGCAAAAAAAATAGACTGCAACATTTTACTGCTGCACCCCCGCCATCCCCCAACACACCTATGACATCAGGCTTCCTGCAGCCTGCTCTAAACCACATTATTTACTGCTTCACTACATGTATAACTGATGCAAAGTAAATTTAAAGTGTACATAAGCACATACTGATCATACTTTACCTAATTTCCCTCTGGGATCAATAAAGTATTTTTGAATTGAATTGAATTTTTCTATGTAAAATGTATAAACAAACTACTTGCAACATTTCATTTTATAAATATGCATTATTTAATAGTTTTTTTTTCCAATTTTGACCATTTTTTGCAGGTTTACAGTGGGGAAAATAAGTATTTAGTCAGTCACCAATTGTGCAAGTTCTCCCACTTAAAAAGATGAGAGAGGCCTGTAATTGACATCATAGGTAGATCTCAACTATTAGAGACAAAATGTGAAAAAAAAATTGAGAAAATCATTTTGTCTGACTTTTAAAGAATTTTTTTGCAAATAATGGTGGAAAATAAGTATTTAGTCAGTCACCAATTGTGCAAGTTCTCCCACTTAAAAAGATGAGAGAGGCCTTTAATTGACATCATAGGTAGATCTCAACTATTAGAGACAAAATGTGAAAAAAAAATTGAGAAAATCATTTTGTCTGACTTTTAAAGAATTTTTTTGCAAATAATGGTGGAAAATAAGTACTTGGT